CCCCTCCCCCACATCACAGGAGTCCGTCTTAGATACGTGAATGCAACATTATCGCTTTCCCAATTTTTTCACTGATTGTCGGCACAAGTTTTATTACGTGCACTTTCATTTTCAAACATTTTTTTTTTTCAGTGTGTAAATGGTAGGCAAAAACTATCAGCATAACTCAAAGATCAATAACTGGCCAACACACGGGCTGCCCGCGCGAAGATGCGTTTTTTGTATAGTTCCCCGCAGTTGTTTTCGCTACCGGCACCGGTTTTTTCGGCAAGTGCTTCTAGCTAAACAAATTAAGATTGGCCGCCAGAACTGTCAGCAAACACCTCCTTAAAATTTCAGCTTTCTAGCTTTTCTGGCTCCTGAATTAGCAACTTACTGGAGGAAAACTTTCACGGACCCACACGTGGGTACCACGCTTAGCCGTTTGAGCTCATTAAGACTTACTTGAACGGGGAACATCCACCTAAAACCACAGCCTTCTAGCTTTTCAGGTTCTCGAGTTAGTAACTTACCCGAAAAAAATTTTGGTGGGCCCGTACGCGGGTACCAAGCTTAGCCGGGGGCTGGGTTTTAGCTCATTAATACCTACTTGGATGGAGAATATCCCCCTAAAATTTCAGACTTCTTGCATTGCAGATCCCTGAGTTATGAAATTACCCACAAAAAATTTTGGCGGGCTCGTACGCGGGTACCACGCTTACCCGAGTGCTGAGTTTGAGCTCATTATTACCAACTTGGATTAATACCTACTTGGACAGGGAACATCCCTTTAAGATTTCAGCTTTCTAGCATCTCAAATCTCTGAGTTATGAACTTACTCGAAAAAAATTTTGGCGGGCTCGTGTGCGGGTACCACGCTTATCCGGGGGCTGAGCATGAGTTCAGTCAGACCTAGGTGGACGGGGAGCATCCTCTTAAAATTACAGTCTTCTAGCTTTTCAAATTCTCGAGTTAGCGACTTACCCAAAAAAGAATTTGGCGAGCCTGTACGTGGGGACCACGCATACCCGGGGGCTGGTTTTGAGCTCATTAATACCTACTTGGACGGGAACGTCCCCTTAAAGTTTTATCTTTTTGGCTTTTCTGTTTCTCGAGTTAGCGACCTACTCAAAAAAACTTTGGTGGGCCCGTGCACGGGTACCACGCGGGTAAGAGCACCCATTTTGGGGGTTGGGCCCGTACGTCCATGTAGATTAAGTTCCCGCATTTTCAGCCCTGTAGCTTTTTTAAGTCTTGAGATGAAAAACCGTGACAGACGCACAAACAGGCACACAGACACACAGACACACACACATACTGACAGCCCCTCGTCAATATGCGTTTTCTGCATTGCATAGCTGCATAAAAATGAGTTCGTTAGACGTTCAGCTTTCTTATTCCCGATTTAGAATCTCTTTCCAGACTCCAACATTCATTGCAGGA